TCCCCCAGCGTGAGCCTGTTAAACAGGTACTCTCCCATGCCATTGTCAGGGGCTCCCAGTCTCTTCAGGTTGGTGATGTGATCTCCCAGCTTCTTGATCATCTTCACATGCTCATCCAAGTAGTGCCTCTCCAGGAAGTCACACAGCTGACCAAAAAAGGGAGAAAAGAATTAGGTAACAAAACCAGTTTCCCTTGAAATTTCATCGTGTGAACTGGAGCAAGAGAGTTTCTGATATTGATGCAGTACTAGTGCAGAGCATTATGGATCAGAACCACAAACCCCTTCCCCAGTGTTATTTTAAATGGAGCCCAGACCTGGAATTCATTTGGAAAAAAACACATGAAGGCTGTTTTGGATACAATGCAAGTGGTCAATGGAAATGTTACATTGCCGTTGGTAAACGACAGCCAAAGAAGAATTTGAGACAACAATGTTAAGAAGTTAGATAATTACTACAAATAACTGCTCTAATCAATAATTCTAACAGACCCTTGTCTAAAGTGGGAACATTCAGACAGATTTTCATACGCAGTTCTCCTATCTAAGAGGGGAAATAACAGCAAGAGAATGAGACAGGAAGCAGTGAAGCTTCCATTTCATTGACAAATAGTTTGATGCTGCTGGAAAAAATTAGAACAAAGCGATCTGGCCACAGCAATTGAGGCCATTAAAACCGTTATTGCCAGTTCAAAGACTGATACACAATGGCCATGGAATTCTACAGCTGAGGCTCTCCAAATGCCCACATTAGAAACTCACATGAGGGTCTGTATTGACAGAGGCAAGTTTGTGCAGATCCAGCAGACTCTGGTTCACATTCTTCTCCATCTGCAGAGCTCTCTGCATTGCTTCCAGACCATTGCCCCACTCATCCTGCTCTGGCTTCTGGAGGGAGGGAAGAGGCAGATGCTTCAGTAGGTTGGTAAATCCAGAGGGAAGAGGGATGCAAGGATGAAATAGCATATTAGTCACTGCATTAATCCAATTGTTCCAAACATTTAATGCCACAAGTTGCAGTGAAGGTATAATTAGGTAATAGTTATAATTAAACCCAACCTTGATGTCCTGCAGGAGGACTCGGCCTCCACGATTATTCTGGAATGCCATCAGTTTCTCAGCGTGTTCCCGTTCCTTGTGGGACTGCTCCTTGAAGAACTCAGCAAAGTGACGCAGGGCAACATCATCCCGGTCAGAGTAAGAGAACTGCAAACAGAGGGAGTACAAAGAGTGAGGTCAGGCATCATCTATGGATCATTGGAAGGTAGTGGCTAAGTTACCTGCGATCAAATAGTCTGCTTCCAATTAAGCAGCTCATACTTTAGCCAAGCAATTGTTGTTATTGGTTCTTTATATTGTTGGCAGTTTTATTAATGGCCTGTGCAAACGTACATGATTCAACTGGAAGATGAAATGGTGCCAACAATGGAGTTCATTTCAACTATTCCCAAGAACGTTATCAGAACAGGAATGCTTTCTTTTGGAGGAGGGGCTGGGATCTTTACCCTTGCAAAGTAGGAGGTTGAGGCTTGGCCTTATAAATAAAGAGGTTAAATTCAGAGAGACAGTGTGTATAGTTGATGTCCTTCCCCCACAAAAACAGTAGGGGAGTCCAAAACTAGAGAATCTCGTTTGGTTTAGGAAATACAGTTGGCAATGAGCAGTTTGGGTTGAAGGGTCTATTTGTGATGGATGACTGTCAGACTAACATTCACTTTAGGCAGAAAGAGTTGAACTGCTGATGCTGGAGGCTGAGAGAACAAGGTGTGGAGCTGGAGGAACACAGCAGGCCAGGCAGCATCAGAGGAGCGGGAAAGCTGACATTTTAGGTCTGGACCCTTCTTCAAACATCTTCACTTATGTGGCTGAGAACAAATCTCCCACATTCAACACTGTGGGTTAATCACAGTGAGAACAACAGGGCAGGACAGTCAGCACACTATTCATTGGAAACCAGAACAGTGATCAGAACCAACACAAGTCCAAATGTAAAATTGGCTTTGTTTCGAGTTGACCAGGTTTATGCGTCATACTGCTTCTTCAGTTACAAAGAAGCAAGCTTACAGGAAGCTAGTTCCGGGATTTGGATGAGCACACCCCAAGGCAAACAGCTGGAACAGCACTGTAATAATTCTGCAAGTGTGACAACAATATCCAAGAGGCAATTCACAAACCTATGGGAATTCTACATCAGTGTAGTGCTGCACAATTTGTTGGAAAAAATTGGGACTGATCTCTCCAAGGAGATCAGGTAGATGTTCTCTCAAAAATGGAGTGCAGCCTGGATGGATTGGATAAGGACAGACTGTTCCACTCAAGTGGGCACACATTTCAGTGATATGGCCAAAGGAACAAGGGCCAAATGAGAAAACATTTCCTGCAGCAGTTAGGGTATGGAATACACTACCCACAAGTGCTGGGGGCACATTCAGGAGGGCAGCAGATTATTATTTTTGATTAAAATGGTCCTGTACAAGGTCTGGGTAATGAAAAGCAAATGATCAGGGCGAGGTAATGCTTCTTGAAGCAGTGAGTACATTATAATTGGCTGAATTGCCTGTGTCTGTACAGGCAGAGAGATGTTCAATTTCAGTGACCTCTACAACTTCCTGCTTCTGTTGAAAGCTTTGAGATATTTAGTGTCAATAAACTGGGATCTACAGTACTATCCTTTCAGCTAGGAAAAATTGAAGGACTGATACTATACAGATCCTAGAGAGTGTAAACAACAGAACAAGCCACCTTCTTCCAGTCAGAGGGGGCTCACTATTCCAACAGTGTCTTACATTGGAACAAATCCTCAATCTTCAGGGAACCTCAGGTAATGTTAGAAGCTGGCAGTCGATCACGTTATCAAAGCTTCATGTTCGATCTCAATGAATTGACACATGGAAGCAAAATAAAGTCAAG